TTATTTTTTAATAAAAATGTCGATTTTGATAAGGATTCAATATGTTGAGAATCAAAAATTTAGAAATATTTTTATAATAATATGAAGATGACCTTGGAATATTTTTTACATAAATTGAAGTATGTATGTAAATGTTATGCATAATATGTTTTTTTTACAGTTGAATTACAACTATGCCTATTTAATTTTGTACCCATAGACTACATCCATTACTGTGTTCCATTAACTACATCAGCCTATCTACAGGAGGTTTCGCAACAAGGTTATAGGTTATTTTTCATACGCATTTTTCAACTCATTTAAGGACTATTAATTCTCGCAACGACACGAAAATAAAAAATAATAACAATAATTTGCGGGAAATTTTCGTGTTTTTTAAAAAAATTTAGAAAAACTAATTCGATATTCCCATTTCGGGTGGCTTTTTCTTGAAAACTAAAAATCAAACATAATTGCATGTCGCAAAAGTAGTAAAGACCTATCAATTATGTTTAAAAAAAGTGTCTAATGGTTCCTCTATGTTGTACGACTACCAAATTATTGGTATTTATTAATATGAAGAAAAAATATGGGAGCAATTTTTTTCAACAGACTCTAGTTTGAAAACGAGTATATCTGGACTGATCTTACCCATTCGACTTTTTTGCTGAAAATTGATCAAAGAATTATCCCTGAAATTATTTATAAACTTATATAAAACACACTGTATGAGAATAAGTTTCTCTTAACTACTCAAATACACTCTGTATATATGAACAGTTAAGAGAAAAGAACTTGTACGTAGTAACAAAAATTTATTCCGATAGATGACTTTTTGTATCCGGAAAGCAATTTGCTTTTCTTTTTTTTTTTTTTGAAAATAAATATCAATTGCTTTGGTAACAAGCTATTTAAAATTTATTTTACCAGAATTTTTATATTTGAAAATTGACCAGAATTTGAAAATTGAGTAAAATTGTATCACTGTTCCCTTGTGTTATGGAAATTTTTGATTCGACTCAAACAAAACAAAGCACTGAATTTAATTTAATATTTTATTTACTTTACACAATAGATTTAAAGAAATTTTTTATTTATTTTTAAAACTGTTCTTTTTGTTAATAAAAATATTGCATACCTTTCGGGACTCGTATCGATACAAATTATTATTATTCCTTTGTTTAAAAAATTGCCTATAATTAGGCGTATTTTATTTTTTCTCAATAACTTTTATAATATATAATTGTTTTCTGTTTAACAATAAATTTTAACTAAATAAAAACTAATAACTTAATTAATAATTTAATGGTGGCAATTAATAAAATTAATGAAAATTATTAATTAAATAAATTAATAATTTGAAAAAATAAATTAATATAATTTAATTTACATTAGAGAGCTAAAATTGTAACGAATAAAATTTCGTATTACAAAAAATTTAAAATTTTATACACGTACCGTTTGATCAGATTTATTTCAGTTCCCACACACAATCAATTTACATAGTGCTGTATACTAAAATTATTAGTATGACATACAAAACCAAGCACGTGCTTGATTACACACATATGAAAATATCTTCAACTTTCTTTCAAATTTATTTTCTTGAACTCAATGATCTTTCAATTTGAACTTTGATCGAATCAAATGGGGAAAATCCTTAAATTGATGTATGAAATTTTTATACGATATAAAAAATGTTAGAATGAAAACAATAATGTCTTCAAATGATATCCGATCACACATTAATTTCAAAAAAAGAAAGCATAAATTTTTTACTTTAAAATAACAATAAAATTGTGTTTGTCGCATTGTGCTTATTAAAATAACATTGCCTTAGTATTGTCATTCATTCACACATACACATACACTCTTATACATACAATATGTGAAAAACTTTTTCATATTATATGAAGTGTTCTTATCTCCAGTGCTCTTGAAAAGATTCTCTTGACAAAAAAAACAAACCCTAATTTTTTTTTCTCAGAAAATTGTTAAATAAAATTTATTATTATTTTTTTTTTTGTTAAAAAAGATGTTTTACATTCTTATTTTTTTGTTTTTGCTTCTCTTCCTTACACAGAAATAAATCTTATTTAAATTAAGAATTCTTTAACCAAAAAAAAAAGAAAGAAAGTCAAAAATAAAATGAATATGTAAAAAAAAGCAAAACAAAAAACATAAGGTGGTTTAAGAAAGAGAAAAAAAAATTTTTGTTTTTGAAGCATGTGCTCTTGTATCCGAAAAGTTTATGAAAAGAAAATAAATAAATTTAAGTTGATTATGAATTGCTCAATTTCCATTTGAATCCATATTGTGATTGATAGGGATGCCACATAATTTTCAATAATAAGGATATTTTTTTTTTTTCTCAAATAAATTTAATTTTTGGAAAATTCAAATATAATGCCATGGACGATAAAGCCATAATGTGAAATATTCGCTCTTGCACGTGTTTAATTGTACAAAGGAAATTTACGTTATAAGTATGAAAAATAAAGGTTTACAAGCACAATAATTTGCAAATTTTAGGCTTTTTATAAAAGGCCTGAATTAAGAAAATAATAATAAATATTATGAAATATTAGGAAAATGCGCGATGTGCGTATTGAAAGACCCATGTATATTTTGTACGCAAAATGCCGAAAATTTATTAAATTAATGAATATTGAAAATTTGAAAAAATTAAAAAGTACTTATAGGAAGGGTTTAGACTATTCCCTATTGAAGAATATTTATAGGAAGGGGTTAGACATTAAAGTGTTTGAATTCCTGATGAGAGTCTAATAAAAATGAGATGTGTGCTAAAATTTTTCAATCGACAATTAGAGGTTCAAATTTTAAATGAATAAATATCGAATCTAAATATGATTGCCAGGGTATACGCACTATAAACGAAGAGAGGTTCAGAAACAAAGTCACTTAACCCTCACTCCCAAAATTTTTATAACAATATGTGAGTTGGGCCACTTTTTCACTGGAAAAAAATTTAATTTTGGGTTTTGGCCAAACAAAAAATAACGAAAATATTTGACTTTTTTGTCGATAAAATTAAATTTGGGACCCAATTTATATATTTCAGTAATATTCCAATAAATAAGCAAAAATTTTGGAGGTTAGGCTACGTATACTTTGTTACCTGACAATCGTTTAGATTCAATATTTCGTGTAAACTTCCTTCGGTGTGCGTGTGCGTGCTGTTAAAACCTAAAATATCCTTATAAAATTTATATTAAATCTTTGATTGAGCATTTTTTATTAAACTGTAATTGAAATTTATACAAGGTTAAGAATTTGACTGCACAGTATTGTCAATTTTATTATAATACAAAATTATTTGTTTAAGATTAAGTTTCTAAAATAAACAATATAAATTTGTTTTATGAGATAAACGAGCTTATAAAATTGACAAAACAAACTTTGTTCGGATTGATTTTAAATTTGATATTATATTGATTCTATAGAATTTTAAATACTCTTGTAACAACAATGTGTAAAAGTGTAGTAAGTGAAGCAGAATTTTGCAAAATTTTAGTTACTGTAGCGATCTGTGTTATTTACAGAGATAATGCTATTGAGAATGTTACGACCGTCTGTAAAAAAGCATCTAAAATATATGGAATGGATTAATAATTTTAATAATATCTATCTTTTCAATATTTCACGTTTTCAGTTCCTGTAATATGCCTGTATAATAGTGGCTGCAATATTTCTGCTGTAAAAATTCAAAATATCATAGGAAAGAAAATGACATAGAATTAAAAACTTAATTCAGAAGAAAAATAACTTGCTACTGAACATACGAGTATTCTATAGTATGTTAGGTTCGAAATACAATCTTCTTAAATTATTTATGTGAGCCGAGCAGAATGATTGATTATTCATAATGATTCATTTTCAATTTTCTTGAATATTAATAAGATCTATCGAAATAAGAAGAAAGAAAAATATGTGAAATTTTAATTATTGAAGGTCAAATGATATTTTAGTAAATATTTTTGCCGCCACAGCCTCGTCATTTTGAAAGAAGAAAAAATACAGTTGACTGAAATAGACCACCAATTCTGTGTCACCCTAACGAATGTTTTTTAAAAGTTTTGTGACGAGAGCTCTCACACAAGTTCTATTACAAAATTTTTATGCAATTACAGCCAAATTTTCCGGAGAATAGTAGCCGCATTATTGAACTCCTCCATGTAAAATTTGAGTACTTTAGTCTTTATATTCAGTCTTTGAGTTATGGTCAAACTATTTTGTATGTCGTATAGGAGATACTGGAACTCTATTACCGAACTAAATGAAACAAAATTTAAGGAAACTTTATGGTTTACAGTTTATAAGCTCTTACAATTATTTTGGATGTTGTGTGGTAGCTACTTCGCATCCGAATTAAATAGGATTCCTACAGTAACTGACATAAGTAAATTAAAGTAAGATAGCTATTTCTTGAATAAAATAATATTTTATTTTCACCCGAAATAGAATGGTGAAAAGCAATTGAATGCAGCTAACCCAAACGACGTCTTAAAATTTGACGACCAATAAAAAAATGGATACACATTAAATATCTCAAGTTTTCTTACCTTCAGAATAGTTTCCCCATTACAAATTAAGTATTAAATATATAATGTGCTGTGTAACGTAATCTAAGTGTAAGCTATTCTCATTAAGATTTCGATATATGAACTTTTATTGTTACTGATTGCTATGACTAACGCTTTATAGCTAATTTTAAACTTTATATAGCCAAATAATCTTTCTTCTATTATAAAATTAAGTAAATTTTATCTATTAATTATAAAATATTAATTGGAAAATACTGAAATCATTTTGTCTTATAATAGCTCAGAAAGATATTGATGAGTGAATGACTGGCATTTTCGTCAATGTTTACAATAATTTGATTAGGTATTTTACCAATAAATTGTAGTAATTAAATTAATCTATAAGGTCAAGAAAGATTTTGTGAAAAAATATAAGCAAATATAAAATTTTAAAGATCATTTGCTATTTGTAATTAATTGAGTCAAGATGATTAAAACTAATAAAAAAGTAATCGCATTTAATATACTGCTCTTTTACGTTCTGCCGATTACTTGTTTACCACAAGATGGCAGTGATACGGACAATGCGACTAATTTTACTCTTCTATCCATGAACTCAACTGTAAATCTTAATTCCATGGATGATGGTAAAATTGAAGAAGAAGATTTTCAAACTATAAAATTTGGAAAAAATGTTGTTAAGGTATACGATACTAATGAAATTAAAAATGATGATGGATCAGTGGAAACAAGGTAAAAATCTCAAACTTTTTCCATATTGTTTTAAATTTTATAAATTTCTGGTTTCTTTTATAATTGTGCAGGTTATCATTAAATAATGGAATTTTCTTTAATTTAAACGCAATACCTAAAAAAGAAAATGACTTGGATTATTTTATTGTTATTGGAACGTTTGAATTTAGGACACCAGATGAGTTTTCATATGCCATCCAATTTCAAGTTGATCCGAAAAATTTTACGCTATTAAATTGTAATCTTATTTTTATTTTTTGAAACAAAATTTTTCGGATTTTTTTTCGCTAAAAAATATTTTATTTTATTTTTAGTTGAAAGAAAGGAAACTGTTCCAATATTAGAAGCTAATCCAAAAATTCTTGCAGCATTAGCGGGGCGTTAAAATTTTATTGTTACACGTTGAAATTTTAAAATATTTTATTTTATTAAAAATTATTTGATTTCAATTTTTAATTTTTTGTTTTAAATGAAGCATTTAAAATCAAAGAAATTAGTCTAGTGACGAACTTTAATGGCAAATGTAAGAAATTTATTTTTACGAAATGTTCGACACCCCATGGTATTCGCGATGTAGGGTGATGAAATAGGTCCGTCTGATAAGCAAAAAACATTGGTGGAGATTTTGTGTTCTTCGCAGTCTTCCTCGAGTTTTAAGGCCTCAAATTTGGTTCCAAAGATAAAGTCAGTTTTGAAGAAATTATTTTCAATAGTAACGCATTACCAAATGCAATTTGCAGCGATTCTTCTTAAATTTGAATATTTTGAAATTTTAATCAGTATTGCGCATAAGTGTATTTTGTCATCTTATTCAAAGATACCTAACTTTTAATTCGGGATAGCATTGGATATTTCAATTGATTCCATTTGCAAGTAGATGGTGAAAAATCGACGATGGTGACGAATAACAATTTGTGAAAATTATTAGTGAGCGTAAAATTATCTTGGAATGCGCCGCCGGTTGGCCATTACTGGTATAAGTAGTTTTTAGTCTGCAATATGGTGACTATTAATAGTCATTTTTTAATAGTAATTTAAAAAATATTGTTAGCGAATTCATTATTACCAAAAATAAAGTAGATAAGGTTTGTGAGTGGTATTCAAATGAATTAGGGATTTTGAAAAATAAAAAGATAATGCAATACAAAATAGCAACAATAGTTGGTGGGCATAATGAGTGGTACAAATATAAACTTTTAAGAAATAAATATAAAAATGAACTTGATAAAGCCAAATCAAATCACTTCAATAGAATGATCGATAAAGCAGTTGACCAGAAATCGATGTGGAAATCAATAAAGAACCTCGTTTTGAAAAAATCTCAAAGTGAAATAAAAGAGGTAATTTTTGGAAATGCAATATGTACAAATAATCGTGAAATTGCAAACAAATTTAATGAATTCTTTGTTGAAAGTGTAAGCCAGATAAACAGATCGATACCCATTAAGCAATATCAAAATTTTATTAGTAATTGTAGCACTCAATTTCAATTTAAACAGTTAGCACTACATGACTTAATTATAATGCTAAAAACATTAAACAATAAAAAAGATATGGATTTATGCGATGTGAAAATGATAAGGGATTCTTTTGATTTTATTGGGGAAAATTTGCTATCAATTATAAATGAATCTCTACGTTCGGGAATTTTTCCCGACTGTTTAAAAGAATCTATGGTGGTGCCTATTGAGAAGGTAAAGAATACCAAACATTGCAATGAATTCCGTCCAATCAACATGATTTCAATATTATCTAAAATTCTTGAAAAGGCTGTATTTAACCAATTGGAGGAGTACTTCGAAAAACATGATTTCATTTCTCAGCATCAGTCTGGATTTAGGAAACGCCACAGTTGTGAATCTTTGATTAATCTTGTAGTAACAAACTGGAAGATTGCGATTGACGACAACAAGGTTGTAGTAGCAGTTTTTTTAGACTTACGACGTGCGTTTGAAACAGTTGACCGTGATATTTTAATTTACAAGCTGAAAAAATATGGCATTGATGGTATTGAATTAAAGTGGTTCCAATCTTATTTAAAAGACAGAAAGCAAAGGACAAAAGTTGGTGGAGAAATATCTGACCCCATAGAAGTTTCTTTAGGAGTTCCACAAGGCACTATTCTGGGCGTTTTATTGTTTTTAATCTATGTAAACGATATGAAGAAGGTAATAAGAACGGGAAATTTGGCGTTATTTGCAGATGATGCATTAATTTATGTGGTGGGTAAGAATATTGATGAATGTATATATAAAATTAATGATGATTTGGAACAATTAAACAATTGGTTTGTAATTAATAAGCTTAAGTTAAATTTTGAAAAAACTAAATGTATGGTAATTAACGGTGTATTAAATAATGAGATAAAAATTAATTCAACAGCTATTGAAGTTGTTAATGAGATTAAATATTTAGGGGTAGTTATAGATAGTAAGTTATGCTTTAAACCACATTTAAATTTTATTTGTAAAAAAATTAGTAAAAAGTTAGGATTTTTTTCAAAAATAAGAAAAAATTTAACGTTGATGAGCGCAATTAGAGTTTTTAATGTAATGTTGAAACCTCATTTTGAATTCTGTTCATCAATAATTTTTACGTTCAATGCTGAAATGATGGGGAGGTTGCAAAAGCTTCAAAATCGAGGTATGAGAATAATATTAAAATTAAATAGATTTACTTCCAAAACATTTATGTTGAAAACTTTGAAATGGATGAGTGTGTCGCAGCGGGTTAAAATGAATGTATTGATGACGGTATTCAAAATAAAAAATAAAATGATGCCAAGTTATTTAACTAATAGGTTAATTTATGTTGAAAATGCTCAAAATTATTACTTAAGAAGTTTCTTGGATTTTAGATTAAATTTTTATACAAAAACCAAAACGCAAAATATGTTGATGTACAAGGGCTTAAAATTGTTTAATGAATTACCTACAAATTTAAAGTATGAGAATAATTTTAAAATATTTAAAAGAAACTTAATTCGACACATATTAGAAAACTTTGCTCTTTAATGAATAATGAATATGTATACTTTCCATAAAATAGTAAAAACAATTTTTGTAAATATGAAAATTTAATGTGATAATGTAAATACCTTAGTATTAATTGTAAATAGTTATTGTTATACTAAATAAAGAAATAATAATAATAATAACTATTTCAATTTTAAAATTATATAGGTGACAAGGCGTCAAACCATTCATTTTATTAAGTGATTATAGACTATAAGTCAACCTGAGTCGACTTGAATTTATGTGAACAGTGAAAGAATTCTCTATTGAGATTGTTATCTAAATAAAAATTTTTACACTATTTATTACGCTCATAATTTAGAAAGTGAGCTTTTACATTAGCTTTTAAACTAACGTAGGGTGAAAATATTATAGTTATTGAAAGACGTTTAGCAATATTTTATTCCTAACTTCTATTCGCATAGAATATTTGATTTCTATATTTAAATTTCAATTAATCAATTATTCAATTCATGTTGTTTAAGATGAGAATTAGAAATTATAAAAATTAATCGCATATGTACATGTTTTTGGAGTGTGATAATGTGCATTTTTTAAATACAGTGAGCAATAATTTCATTTGAAGTTTAATAAAAAATTGAGGACTTCATTTAATAATTACTAAAGCAATTAAACGATATAAAAAGGTATTTTAATTTTTTCAGTATGATCATTCATTAAATAAAATTAATAGAATAAAGATGGCAAAATTCATTAAAAATTTAAGTGGATTTTTTACATTATTGGTATGCATTTGTGTTGTAATTGCCGGAGGAAATGATGAAAATGAAAATACAACAAATATATCAGGTGATGATCAATCTTCTACTACATCAAATGACTGTTCATCTATAGAAGACATAGAATTTCAAAAAATTTATTTCGGAAAGAATATGGTAACCGTTTATGAGAGTAATGAATTCGTTCATGAAAATGGTACCATTGAAATATTGTAAGGCTTATTATTCAATTAAAACTAAATGAATTTCTCATTTTTAAAATTATTACATTTTATTGCAGTATGGATTTAGAGAATGGAATCTTTTTAAATTTAAATTATATTCCAAAAATGATTAATGAAACAGAAACTTATACTACTTTGGGAAATTTGAGGCTTAAAACACCAGATAATTTCTCGTATAACATTGAATTTGAAATTGAAGGGGAAGATTTTAATCTTGTAAATTGTAAGTTGTTTACTGTAAATGTAAAATATTTTTTATATCTTATATTACATAAATTTTAGTTGAATCAAGTCAAATTATGAACCAAGGAGCATTTGCTAGTGCGAAAATTTTAGCAGCATTAGCTGGTCGGCGTTAAGAGAATCGGGTTTTCCTTAATTTTGGCTTCAGAGTGAATTTCAGTCATAGAAGCGTATCTAATAATCAAATAAATATTTTCAATGTATACAATATGCACGATCTACTATATTTATTAATTAATATAATATTATAGTGTTAAAAAAACAGGAGCAAAAATTTGTTTTAATGGTTTCTTCAGAGATCAACTGTAAAATTTTATTTATAATCAATAATAATAGTGAAAATATCAATAAATATGAATATTTTGTGGTTTTAGTGCTTTTAAATATAGTATTTTTAGTCAGTACGCGCCTACATAGTGCTTTTAGACTGTAACCACTGACTTGGCGTTTAAGATGGCAATTATTTAAGATGGTAAGTTTACTTGTTTTTAATAAATCCATGGTTGAAATCGGTTTGTGAGAGCTAAATGACAATTCCCACGTTAGTCCAAATCAAGTATATTGATTTTACAGACAGAAAATTATTGGTTGGTTATGACCGCTATTATTAAAATTGCTTAAATTTGTGATTCAAGAGTTATTGAATTGTTATTCAAGATTTGTATTGAGACCTTCCTCTATAGAGGTGTTTCATGGTTACATCTAGTTGCAAATTAAGTTCTTTTCAAAAACTTGTGACGTCCCTAGGATTTATAATTGAAATTTCATCAATTTGTTACAAGTTATTCAATGAAATCTTCAAATTTTCAAATATTAGAAATAAATCTCAATTTACGTAAATTTAAGAATATTATAAGTAACAGGGGAATTTTTTTTGAATCCCATTAATAAATCCCATTAATAAATTTTTATTAACAATATGAGTTCTTCATATACATAATCTCTTGTATTGCTTACGAATATTGAATCAGAATTTTTATAAATTCATAATAAAAATTTTTTTATATAATTTATTAGCACCATCAATTGAAATTTCTAGATTTTGTTTGCTTTGAAAAAATTGAGAGAAGTTTGTCACTTTTACCATCTGTTTATTAACCCCTTCAAAGAAAACTATAGAAAATTTTCCTTGAAATCCAGAATTTACAAAAGATTTCAAATAAAAATTTGAACTTTTGAAACAAAAACAAAAAAACTTTAATTCAACAATTTAATTTTTAACGTAAATCGATTTCTTATTTTATTGGAATTTTCCAACTTTGCAAGTGTTGGTAGTAAAAGAGTTAATAATTAATATATTTTTTTTTGCGGTTTCTTAATTGACCATATTATTAATAACTAAAAATGTGGGAATATGTTAAATTAATTAAAAATATTGTTTATTATAAAATTGTTAATGTATCGTCATTCGCGGTCACATTATCACTGTTTTCGTTTTATTTTCAATTAATTATTATTTGCACCGCATTGGATACAATAAGGAAGGTATTGCGATCGTCCCGAATTAAATGTTTTATTACACTTAATGCGATCATAGTTACACGGAATGAATTTCTCTATGTTAGAGAGAGAGTTAAAACAAATTATTTTGTTGGAGGAAATATCAATTTTTTATTCTGCCTAACGGACTGCTCGTCTATCGGTTTTTTTGTCATGTAATTAATTGATCAACTTTGATGGCACATCTCGGGAACCAGTTTATCATGAATAACAAAATAATGAATTAATTTTCTTGAAATATTTTATAGAAAAATTTACATAAATTCAAAATCATATCGATCAGTCAATCATATGCTGACCCCATCAAATTTTTTCCTTCTATATATAAAGCGAATTTTTTTCCAATGAAATTATTCAAGAAATTTTTTTGTAAAATCATTTGTTACTGAAAATTCGACAAGTTTACAAGATGAAAAAAATATTTAATAATATAATTGGAAATTTTTTTATAATATTATTTTGTATTAATACAATATATTGTAAAAGAGGTGGAAAATTTCATAAACATGACGAAGAATCAAACGATGTAAATTCAATATCATCTGAAGCTGCTGCTAACGCTGTTATTGATGACATATTCAATATGAAACAATACATAAAATTTGGTGAAAATAATATGGTCACTGTACAGGAGAGTAGTGAAATATTACATGAAAATGGAACTGTTACAACAAAGTAAAATTTATTATTAAATTTGTACATATTTACATTTAATTGCTGTTATTGTTCTTCTAGATTATGTTTGGACAATGGAATATCTTTGAATATAAATGCTATACCCGAAATTGATAATGATATAAAAATTTATACAATTGCTGGTACAATTGAATTTAGTTCTCCAGATTTCATGTTGTATTACATCGAATTTAATGCTAATTCTGATAATTTTACAATTCTTCAATGTAAATTAATAATTTTTGTTATCTTAATGTTTTTATTAAAAATTTTGTCTTGTAATTTTAGATGAAAGAAAGATTCAAATTGGATTACGTGCTAATGCAAAACAATTGGCAGCTTTAGCTGGATGAATGAAAATTATCTTAATATTCTATAAATACTATAGATTCTCTATTTCGGATTAAAAATTTATTGACTTGCATCTTAAATCTTCAATAATGCATTTTGTAATATGAAAATTTATTTGATTGCTTTTACATAATTTCACATTTGAATTATATGGAATTTGTAATTATAATGATTTGAGTTTATTAAATTTTGTTCATTATGGAATTATTTCAATTAGAAATGCAATTAAAATGATTATTCGACAGGCTGAGATTTGATTTTAATAATCTTATAGGACTGCAATTGTGCTAGAAATAATAAAATAGAGGGTTTTGTTAATGTTCTACAGCAAATTATAGTAAATCTTCTATATAATGAACAACTCATATAATGGCTTCAGGAAATATACAATTCAATTTAATTTGGTTGAGCAGTTTTTATAGGCTATGTCACTTTTTGAAAAAACCAAAAAGCGGTGTGGCTCATACAACTCCTAATTACTGTTTACATATGCGGAAAAATCTAAGATTATATCTGAGTCTGATCATAGTCGTATGAGTAAGTGTAAACACTGTTTGATTGACATTTTGATACTATCTCACAACAAATAATAAAAATTATACTATTCTCATCAGATTTACTGTCAGATATTTTAAAATTAAAATGGCGACAATTAATTTTTAGAGTTACTTTTCAATATCAAATTTTAGGTAACATCAATTGTCAAATTTGACGTAAAATCTTAGCTTCAATCAGAGAATTTCAGTTTGACATGTCATAAGACATTGTCGTATACTTAATATTAGATTTTGCCGTATATGTTGTATAAAATGATTTACTCGCACGGTAATCATGGAGTTTATGTGACCTATTTCCCGGTTATTCTCGTTTTAAAAACAATTTATTTTTGCTACCATGAATTTAATCACATATTTTTCTTTTAACTGCTTCGAAATTCATTATTGGTGTTATACATGTGTATAAATTAAAGTTTTAATTTAAATTATTAAATCTATTTCAGATTTGAATAGTAAACAATCAAATGAATACAAAACAATGACAAACGTAATGATAATCAAATAAAATTTATGCTTATAATAAGTAAGTATAGAGATGGTGATAGTAGATAGAATTGCATACCAATAAGTATGCATGCCAATAAGTATACATTAAATTTATCTGAACGGCATATTTATTATTATTATTATTTGCTTTATATTATATAACAGTCATTCATTACCTTTTAATTTTTATCATTAAAACGCAATCTGAATCACATTTACAAATAAAATATTACGAAGATTTTAAGAATCTATACATACATACATATATAATAAATTTCTTTTAATCATTTCATTATAGAATTTCTAAATTGCAAACACACTCACTTTATATTGTATAAATTACTTTTTGTACTCGTATAATGATATTTTAAAATTAAATGCTCTAGTTATGTTAATTTAAAATATGATTTGAATTTAAATTGTCATTTTATAATGATGACTATATTTATGTCAAATGGTTGCATACTCGTACATAAATATATATGTATACTATGGCAATAACTATTAATGTTTGCTGCAAATAATAATTTATTTATAAGTAATGCCGATTTTAGTAATTAAAGTGAAATAATTTATAATCTTCTCTTCTGATTTTCTTTTATACAATAATATTAAAAACATGGTTTCAACATTATAATTTTAAAATTAACGAGGATAACAATATTATTTACAGAATTGATCATGCCAACTCCATGTAAGATCCGTTCTGTATAATATAAACAAACTATTCAATAATTTCGAAAAAATTATATGGCATCTTACCAAATTAGAAGTTGCGCACCTGTTCATGAATTTCTTTAGAACAATTTATAGTAATTCGGTGATTAAATTATTTAAAATAAAATTTTTGCAATCCACATTCTAAAGGTTTTGGAGGCTATCATTGCCATATTCTAATATATCGCGATTTCAGAAAAAATTTCTTTTATTTGACCGGATATTGTTGGATTATTACAAAATAATAGGTAGTCAACCTTAATTGTATTTATGCAATTGGAGTTCTATAATATACGAATTTACACGAATAATATACGAATCTACATGTGGAATTTCAAATTCATAATGCTATTCAAATATTCTGTAGAATTTAAATGCAACAAAAGGCTTTTCTTAAGTCAATTTTATTCGTATATGCAACCGGAATTTTTTTATGTGTACAAATACAAAGTAATTTATTTTAAGGCGAAGATCTTTAACAATTCATTGCAATATTGTTATGGTAACGAAATAAATATTCCATTTCAGATTTTATTGAAAGTGCACGTGAATTGAGAATTTAGTTTATTTATAATCTTGCGTTCACTAGAATAACATTTTTTATTTAATGATTTCATTAGGATGGTCTTAATTTAGTGTTTTTTAAAAAAATAATTTCAATATATCGAAGAAAATGTAGGAAGCCTAGTTGCTTTTATGAAAAATTTTTGAGCTCTTAATATTTTTGCATTATCATATTTCATCCTAAATACTCGTATTTTAAATTTTTGGTGCAAGTTGAATTCCAGAGAAATAACACGTTCTTATTTTACTTGCTAAATTAATTAGGTTTTAAACTGTAAAGGAATTTAGTTGTTAAGCGGTCTTAGTAGTGTTTTAAGTATATATTATGTATTGTAGTTCTTACACAGATTCAAATACGTTTACTTAAAAATTGAAAATGCTTTATATGTGAGCTGGTCGCCTGTTGCGTATGAAATTTATTATACTTAAGTTATAATTAGAAAATATTGTCAATTAGCTGTTTATTTTATAATTTTGTTAAGTATTTCACGATTTCAACAGTTTTTTTTATATACATATATGTACTTACATGCAGAATACTCAATAATGTACAGATTTCATAATGCCACAATGTTTAATAATTTTTGTAAAAATCTACCACATTAAGTTTTTGTTTGTAAGTATTATATTGACAGTTTAATGTACGAGAAAAAGTTCGAAAAGTACAATTAATTATTATAAATGTATGTATGCATGTATTAAAAAATTCTTATTATAAATAAAATATTTAAAAATTTTCATTCTTTCCTGCCGACCATTAAATTGTATTCTTTGGTTGGTTGGTTGATGTGCCGGTGCGACAGGTCTTCGCGGGCATGTATTTGGATGAGTGTAGCAAGATACAAACTTATAAGTGTGCTAAAGATGCCAAAACGGGGGTTCCGATGGATGACTTCCGCAACACAAACCCAGAAGGGTACGCTGTTTAGAAGATAAGAATAAATGGAAGTAATTGAGAGATCCGATTTCGAAAATTAGGGTAATGCAAGTTAATACCACGCAAAAACACCTCAGATAGCCTGATGGTCGTCTCTGATTCAAGAGCCCCGGCTGCACAGTAACAAGATCAAAGGACTTGACACCTGCAAATATAACCTCTTATACAAGTTCATAAGCTCTGATTTTGAGGACCAAGTCAGTGGGTTTGGGTAAGGTCATGGGTGTGACCTTTCGGGCCTCCTAAAATTTATACTCCGTGGCGAAATGAAGATTTAACGAATCTCAGGAAGAAGTTTGCAGAAACCTTTAATTCCTTCTGCAGAACTGGGTCATGGCAATCCTACAAGTAGTGCCTCAGATAATATAAAAGAGTGTTACGCTCTGCAAAAGTCCAGGGTTGGAGAAATTTTTGTGGAAATGTAACTTTGCGAAACTCAGTTAATATTTTTTTTCTCTTCTTCTTGCTTATGAGAAATTATATTTCTCATTTAAGTTTGTAACTGTTGCCTTTTCGCAAACAATAAATTATTCCAGTCTAGGCTTCTTAAAAGACAAACGAAACTACTTATATAAAAAACCATTTTGAGACCAGTAGTTACACATGATTTCGAAGCTTGGACCTTAACAGCAACGGAGAATCATTCATTAAGAGCCCTTGAAAGAAAAGTTATTCGTAAAATTCTTGGTGCTAGACGGCTTGAAAACGGCGAAATATGCTATTGCGGAGTTGAATGATTTTTTAAAAGTTGTGTGTTTTTTTAAAGCTCAAAGACTTCTATAGGCTGGCCATGTAGCAGGAATGAGTGAAAATAGGGCATAATATAAAGCTTTCAACAGCGTGCCTTATATCAGTAGTGTACGAGGTAGACCTACAACGAGGTAGGGCGACAACATCCAGAGGGATTCGGGAAAATTTAATATTATAAGGTGGAAATCGACTGCCCAGAATAGAGAAATGTGGAATAACATAATGAAGAAGACCAAAGCTCACTCCGAGATGTGGTGCCACAAGATGATGATAATGATTTTGCTCATCAACCTGTTAAGAATATTAGAGAAAAATTTTATAAAATTATTTAAATCCTTACATAAAATCAGTATTGAAAATGTAATCAGCAAAACCTTAACATGTTTGTCTATACGCGTATATAATGAAACTATACAAATAACATACACACTATTATACAACATTTTGTTAGTACATTATAGCGATATTGTTAAAATTACGAATTATCTTATTGGAAAGTTCATGAAATAGACACCATTATTGCGACTACTATACAACAACGAGTATATAAATTTATTATAGACAGTATAATATTTTTGAAAGTTTTAATGTTGTACAATTTTATTTTCATTTGGTTTTTCCTTATTCTTAAAAGTTGTAAGTTGTAAATGTATTATACAAATATTACAGTGTATGTAATGTTTATGTACATAATCGTATGTATGTAATATTTCTCACCACATTGTTTTTGAATAACCATAACTATAAAATATGAGATTTTCTTAATGTTACGCTTGTATTGATTTTTATTTTCAATTTTCATATTGTAAGATTTTTATATTATATAACATTATACTTGGATTTTGTGTGTGTAGTGTATATACTTACAACCATATTGTGTATTTGAATGGTATGCCGTTTTATGTTAAACAATAAATTCATGTACATAACAATATACATACGTGTATAGATTTACATTATAGAAGTTCAAAATTGATTTTGATTTCAAAAGTTGTTGGTCGATATTCCAGATTCCGTATAAATGCTGAAAATTACAGAATAAGATAGAAATGTGTGTGTGTTTG